ATTCTGCTTAGAATTTAGGCATTAATTTCGAAATTTAGTTTTAATTTAGTTTAGTTTATTAATTTTCTACCTTTTTTCAATTCTTTATCAAGTTTCTTTTTAATCTGCGTGTACTTTGTAACGCGTCATGTAGTTGTAGCTTTTATTTTCAAGTAAATTAAAAATGATATAAAATTGTAGAGCTTGGGAGAAAAGATGATTGAAAAAAAGCGTAACGCATGATGTAAGTATGTATTGTCAAAAATACTATATTAAAGAGTCATCATCATCATACATTAAAGAGTTAAATTTAAGTTGCTTGGTTTCTAGATCACCATGAGTGCATGGGGAGTATATATGTAAGTATATAAAAATCTTATGCGTCCTTATTTCCGATAATTCCGATAAGGATCGAGGATAGCTGGGATCGGAGCCTGCAGGTCGATTCTGCAGCGTTGGAAGTGCAATGGTTAGAAGAGCAACAGCAACGCAGTCGGCAGTAGCAGAGGTTGCTCGGTTGCTCGGTTGCTCCAGCGCGCGGGCTGACAAGTGGCAAGAAGCAGTGCCAGTTGATCCGCAGCATTCGCTACGGTTGCATGGTCGCTATAGAGTGTAGGTCGTAGCATGTTTTACGCCTTCTCCTAAAAGAAACCTTATTATTTCAACGGTGTTCCTTTTTTCGCGCGTTCTGAAATTCATCGATAAAAAACTCGGAAGATCATCGATCGGAAAACTAATGAGTCTCGTGGAATATACCGCCGTTCGAATAAAAAGACAGATAAACAGGAATGCGTTGTATGCTGGGAACATGGGAATGTAGCGAGTGTATGTGTGTAAAGTGTTGCGCGCGGGCGTGTTTTCCAGACAAGTTCCTCCGTTCTTTCATCGTTTTCTAAGAAACGCATTCAGAATACTGGAGAGAACACGATGGTGTTCCCGACGATACGAGCCATTGCAGTATTCTTGTTGTTCATCCTCGATCTTGATGCTGCGCTAGCTAATACTGTTACATCGGCTAAGGTATTCGAGAGATTTTTACTTGATTACTTTCACGTTTGAAAAATTTGAGAAATTTTCAAGAGATTTTATTTTAAATATTACACCGGTCTTTGGCCACCATTGCGTTCGACAATTGAAATAATTGTTGATAATGCTGCAAGCTGCAACGAGACGCGCAAGCCTGAAACATGCATTCTCTCTCTTTCTCTCTCTCCATTTCTATCTCTATTTCTATATCTCTCTTTCTCTCACAGAGTATAATAATGCCTTACAATGTATAACAATGGTGCTGATTTGTCGATTTTCGCTTACCAAACAGCATTACCAATATATCTATATACTATAATTGCTACTTGCTGCTTGCAACTTTTGTTAATAATTTGTTTTTTGTACAATTTACAGACACACAGCAGAGTGTAAATTTTTGCATTTTATTCTTTTCTGATTTTTTCATTAATGCCTACTAATATCTATAATAAACTAGTAAAATAATAGAATATCTTATTATAGAATAAACTAAAGAGAGAGAGAGAGAAAGAGAAATTTTTCGCAAAATATTTTTTAAATTTCAAGTTTTAAAATAAAATTTTAAATGTAAAGTGTGTTATAAGTTAAGAAAGATTGTAAGAAATAAAATACTAAAATAATAATATAATAAAATATGTTATATATATAATATTTGAAAGATGAAACTTGAGATAGAGAAACTTTCACTGTTCTTAACAATTATATCAATTTAGCAATTATACCAATTCCGCTGTCGAATGGCGCGAATTTCGCGCTGCAACATGAAACGAGGAAGAAAACCTATAAGATTCACGCTTTCAATTTATGTTTTAGGCCTTAGGCCAATATTACATACGTCCGTTTTTTGTCGTATGACGAATTTTTCAAACGTGTTAATTGGCTGCAAGACAGAGAGGATCTCGGACCTCTTTGTCCTACAGCCAATCGACATGCTTGAAAAATTTGTCGTACGACAAAAATCGGACACATAATATTGGCCTTAGATGATAATTACGATCATATTTACTGCTACCATATGTATAGAGTCCGACCGAAACCACATTTTGACTTCCGGCCGAAACCGAAAACGAATATTCGATTGTCATTCAATTTCGACCGAAAACGAAACCGAAACCGAAACTTAGATACGTCTTACTAAAAAAAAAAAAGAGAAAGGACAACTAACAGATTTACATTTTTCTTGGAGTCGAATCGACATTTTTGAATTAATTGTACAGAGACCGTATGATTTTCAGAAATATCATGACAAATTTATGTACTCTATAAAAAATAAGATTTTTGACGAATTTTTCAAACGTGTTAATTGGCTGCAAGACAGAGAGGATCTCGGACCTCTTTGTCCTACAGCCAATCGACATGCTTGAAAAATTTGTCGTACGACAAAAATCGGACACATAATATTGGCCTTAGATGATAATTACGATCATATTTACTGCTACCATATGTATAGAGTCCGACCGAAACCACATTTTGACTTCCGGCCGAAACCGAAAACGAATATTCGATTGTCATTCAATTTCGACCGAAAACGAAACCGAAACCGAAACTTAGATACGTCTTACTAAAAAAAAAAAAGAGAAAGGACAACTAACAGATTTACATTTTTCTTGGAGTCGAATCGACATTTTTGAATTAATTGTACAGAGACCGTATGATTTTCAGAAATATCATGACAAATTTATGTACTCTATAAAAAATAAGATTTTATTAAAATATTTAACTATAATAATATAATAATATTGCAGCCTCAATTTTTAAAGAAATCAAATCACATTTATTATTACGATCACATCAAAGTTTGTACTCAAATTGTCTTAAGCTTAATCAACGAGTTAATAATAATTAAAATCGGACAGTTGTTTTTTGAATGTTCACCAGCACGTTGCAACTTGCACAGTTTCGGTTTCCCATCGAAATTTTCTCTTAATTTCGACCGAAATCGAAATCAAACCGAAACTCTGATTTTTTATCGAAACTGACCGAAATCGAAACCGAAATTTTGGTCGGACTCTACATATTTATAATTGTAAGAGAAATAAACAATCGAAGAAATTATATAATAAATTACAGGCTTTTCAGACATGTAAAAGATTTGTAATTGAAAAACACATTTAATTATCAATGCAGCAAATTGTCTCGAAGAAGATAATTTGGACTATATACACATGTTTCAACTGTAAATAAATTGTAAATTCACTGATGTGTTATGCCGATGTGTAAAAAGAAATAGCATTAAGCAAGTCGCAAGAAGAAAAAGAGAAAAGAATAGAAAGATAACGTTTGAGTTTATAAAAATTTTACAAACAATATATAAGACACGTCGTTATTCAAATGAGAAAGTGCCGCACAATAACTAAAAAGTTAAACATTCTTACGCAACGATGAGTCGTTTTCGAAATTGTATGAGAGAATGCGAGATTTTTTGTACACGTGTGCGAATAAGAAATTGATCGGGTTGATTCCTGATGCAGTGGTTAAAGAGAAAATCATTTTCCTCTATATCGTCGCCATTCGTTTCTTCCTTATCAAATTAATTCTGATAAAAGGCGACCAAGTAATCATACCGAGTAACTATTCCCTTCCCGTCGAGGTTTCCGCCAGTCACATTGTACGAGTAATCATACATCATTTAACGAATATATGTATTGTACAATTAGACGATTTTAACGTGCATATGTATATATATATATACTTATATACATATTGTTATACATACATACATTATAGCACGCATGTATAACAAGTGTGTGCAACAAGTTTGACAAGTACGTTAATCATACGTGTGTTAAAACCGTTATTAGCATCTATATCCAACATTTGTAATCTGTAATGGCCGACATCGAAACTGAAATAATTATGAATTTTGTTTATTATTATAGGCATATGAAATCTATAATTTAAATTTAATTTTAGAGCCTATTGACGGATATCTGATGTTAAAAAATTTGAAATTTGCCAGAAGAAATCATATAGGTTTTCTTATGGCAAATTTCAAACTATTTTATTATATATATCTCTCATGTAGGACTGCGTTTAGAAAAATCACCCAAGTGCTCCCGTATATCGTTTTATCCTTGTTGTTCACCAATGTTAAATAAGGACAAGATGATACACACGAGGGCACCCGGGTGATGTTTCCGAACGCAGCCTTAATTAGAGGGATATAAATCCGTAATTCATAAGATCTTTCAAAATTCTGTTAAAGCAAAGTCCATTTACACAGTCGCATGTAAGGAATACAATATTTAATTCCTTGTATGAACAAAAAATGTCGGTCGTGTGCGTCCAGTTATTTGACAATAAGAATATTCTCTTCTCGCGCCTATGTCTCGTTGTAGAAAAAATGGAATCATCAGTATTTTCAGAACACGTGAAATTTTCCTTTATTACAGGAGGAATGTAGGAAAAGAATAGCTGAATGCACAATGAATGGTGGTGGAAGCACACCAGTGTGCGGAAGTGATGGAGTCACGTACTCCAATCAATGTCAAGTCATTTCTAAGCAATGTCAAGGCGTATCTGTCCTCATCAAACACACTGGACCTTGTCCAGGTTTGTATCTCTGTTTCACGTCGTACGCACACAAAAGTTTGTATCCGTGAAAAATCTGGAATTTTTCTAGGGGCTGAGGAGCCGGAGTTACAGTCTACGTTTTGCTTCTCTTTCAGCTGCTTTTCTTTCTCTCTCTCTCTCTCTCTTTCTTTCTCTCAATCTCTCAAATTGCAGTAGATTCTCAGTTGCTTATTAGATATCAAAATCAAAATTAAGAATATCTACTTCTTGTTAAACATCTGCAGTCGTGACTGATCACACATGTACAATAGATGAACAAGTGATGAGACTTTGCACAACTTTTATTCAGAGACACCGGCGTGCTTCTCAGCAAGATTGACCGCTCGACATGGCGTACGGCCTGCCTGCCGAGACGATGGAACGTACGCGCCAGTTCAGTGTCACGCAGAGACCGAGTATTGTTGGTGTGTAACGCCGCAAGGCCGGCCGTTGCCCGATACAACGGTAAGATATAAAAAACCAAGATGTTTGAAAGCCGGTTCCAGATCTGCTGCTTCTACTAGGAGCGGCCAAAGGCGACGCTCACCGACTAGGAAACAACGTAGGCAGTATGTCAGCAATAGGCATCGAAATACCTGCGATCGTACCGAAAAGTCCAAATTCAATGGAAACCTCATCGAGAACTTCAAAATTGAATACAGACGGACTAATATATCCGCTGAGGGTAAATGACACGAGCAATCGTTATAAGAATGCGGTTAATCGCGGTCTTTCGATTAATATGATTAATCCGATCAATTGGGAGCCCTCAGAAGCGAGCTTGTAACTTTAAAAAATAATAATTCAAATTGTACGTAATATAATATATAATCGTATGACCAAGTGCATTTTGTTTTCCTGTTGATAGATGATAAGAATGTTGAACGGGTGTTGTCGTGGAAATTTCTTAAGCTGGACCAGAACGCGGACGGCTACTTAGATAAGACAGAGTACAAGGAGCTCAGAAGACTCGCCAAGAAGGCGGTAAGACCGAAGAAGTGCGCACGCACATTTGCTCGCACGTGCGACCTAAATCGGGATTTAAAACTATCTGGAATGGGGTGCTTGTCTTGCCAATGATTTCACTCGTAAGTTACATACATATCATACGTATCTTCTTTTAATTAAGTGTTTAGTTTGTTGAGCAATGGCTCAGCATAGAGCACATTTTTAAAATGTTCAATTCGTAACCAAGGAGCTAAGAGGGAACCCGGCCGGGGTTCCTGTATCTAATTTTCTTTTTATATTTTTGGATATAGTTGCTTTTGTATAAGTGCCTATACTTATATATATGTATACATACAATATTATTATTTAAACATTGTATATACATATGTATATCATGTAAATGTTAAATATTATTACAATATTAATATTTAAATAAATAAATAAGTATTTATTGTATAAAACGAAAATTTTTTAAAACTAAAACTTAAAATATTAACTGTCTAAATAAAAGTACACAGTGTACGTCGGGGAAAGATGAATTTTTTTAATCTTTAAATAAGAATAATTTATATATACACTTGTGATGGAGTCTACGCAACTTGAAAAGAAACATATGGAAACGTAGGAGATGTCTTTTCGAAAGATATAAAAGTAAAAAAAGATCAAGAATACAGTTAAACATATTTTTTTATTTTTGGTAGTCTTACAGTCAAACTTGAGTAAGTCTTGTTTAAAATGTTTTTTGATGTAGTAAAGTTTTCGAAAACTGAGAAAAACTTTAGCTATAATCTTTTGACTATTTCTTAAGACTAAAACTTGAAGCTAATATAATGTACATCCACATATCTCTTAGATTTTAATACTTTAATAACATATTTCAAGGAGAAAACAATCGACGCTGGACACTTGGGTCATGTCCCTTGTTAGTTTCTGTATTCATGCTGCCTTATATCGTTTATTGCTGTGCCACTTACATAGATTTTTTTTTTTATTGGAAACCAAATTCTCATTCATAGCGACTCTTTGACTTTCATAGACATAGACTAAAGGCTACGGCATACAAAAAAAAAAATATAAAGTAGTAAGCGAATCGACAAGCCAAAATAGAGACGTAAGGCAATAATGTAAGTAGCAGTAAATCCAAAATGTTAATTATTTGTTTACGCATCTTACTGCTTGAGTTTTTTTGTATGCCTTTACATAGTCTGCGTTCTGTTATTTAATTACTGCGAATATTGAAAATTTATAGTTCACGTTACGTACCTATATTATAAATTTTCAGTATTTCAGTGCAATGAAAACAGAACGCAATTATAAAGTGAAAAAAGTGAATTCTCGCTTATATATGCAGGCTTCAAGTGTTCTAATTTCGAACGAGATTCAAAATTGTGTAAAAAGCTGATATTATACTTAATTGTGCGGAACATTTTTTCAAAAATATTAGCATATATACATGTATATATTTATGTGTCCAAGATTCTGAAGCTTATTCAGTAGAGCCATTAATAAGGCCGGAATCAGACTACGCATTGAAGATTGAGATTGAAGATTGAAAAAATTGAAATTTAACCAATCGAAACAAAAGAAGCTAAAATTTCTTTGTCCTTATTGGTCAAATTTCTTCAATCTTCAATCTCAATCTTCAATGCGTAGTCTGATTCCGACCTAAGTCGATTGTTAGTGAAAAGAATTTACTTTACAAATTGTTTTCTAGTTAACATTCCTCTGACTATAAAGGGAGCTGACTTTACCTTTTAAAACTTTCACATTTAAATCTATTTTGATTTTACTAATTAGTTTTCGTGCCTTCCTCCTTATCTTCTCCGATTATATTCGAGCGGTCCAGAGTGCGATAGAGAATTAAGCATATCGAAAAATCACATTTAGGAACAATTGAGATGTTATTCTCTCTTATATTCCATTCTGTACGTTTGATTTGGAAGGTATCACGTGTATCGAGATTGATATGTATACAAAACATGTTGAAAAATATTTTATAGATAAAAATTTTGTGTGGCACTCTCTTAATTGAGACGAACAGTTGAACCGAACAAAAGAGAAAAAAAGGATAATTCTCGTTATTTCTCTGATGAGTGTAATCAGACAGAGGAGAAATGTCATTTTGGCATCTAAATCGTGACTTAAATTAACGATGATACTGCTGTCTGCAACAGGATGTCACGCCGCGTCGCCCGGTCACGCGTGTCAAGGACCATATGTATGTACTCTGTTGTGTCGACTAGTTTAATATTCGTGAATCCTGCCGGAAGTTGCCTACACAAATGCACGCGTGCGACCGGCTGCTAAGGAATTGAAGTAATTGACCTCATGCATGTACGAGCTAAATTCTCGCCCATGCGTCATGACGACAATGATTATTTGCTATTTATGACTGTCTAATATGTACCGTGTAAATCGCTGCATAAATTTCTCTGTGTTATTTTTCGATGAGCTAGTCAAATCGTAGCAAAGTCCATTTGTAGCATTTAAATGAGTAAAGCAAAAATTTCTAAAGAAAGAAATATATATCTACTTTATTCTGGAACATATTGACATGAAATATTAAATATTTCGTCAAACTAGTAATTTTTTTTAAAACAATCGCACCTGAATATTTTTATGAATAGAATAATGAGATGAATCATGAATTGATGTAAAGAAAATATATACAAAGTTGCTTGAAAAAAATATATGTAAGCAAAATGTATAATTTTTCAAATAAGCAACTGTTTTCTTTACACCAATTAATTCTTCTTATTATTATTCCATTCATAAAAGTATTGAAGTACGGTTTGTAAAAAAATAATATATACGAGATACTTAGAGGAAGGTCACCAATACCGACATACCACTTTGTGTTTTTAGACAATATTTCTTAAACAAAAGATAAAAATGCAACTTCAAAAACATAAATACAAACTAAAAAGTGTCTTCTATCAGATAGTATAAGCAGTTTTTATAATACTGTTTGCAATTTTGTAATAATTAAATTTTTCATAAGTTATGCAAAAATGAGTTCCAAAACTGACATAGTAGGTAATAATGCCAACATTCTTATTCTATAAATAAAGATATATCCTATTCTGTAAGAAAAACTAATTTATGAAACTATAAACATTTAAAATAACATAATATTATCAATAATACAGTCACTATTATTTTAATTACGCAATTTGCAAAAGAACACTGTAAGAATTTTCTTCTCGAATTCATAGAATTTGTTTTTAGCTGATATGGTATAGAAATAAGCCACAAATATATGAATTATGAGTTTGTACTTCTTTAATTAGCTAAACAGATCACGTTTTTATTAGTATTAATAAGGTGCAAAGGTTAGTTTCTAAGAAATAAAGGGATGTCGCCAGAGCCGCGTTAACAAAATTTGTGCCCAGGGGCTTGTGATCTCTAAGCGCCCCCTTCATAGGGCACTACTTCCATGATTTTCTGATCTTTTTTTAGGGGGTGGTGACGTCCTAATTTTCCATGACAGAAATGACAGAACCGATAGTGTCGGCGTTGCGAAGATCACTTTTCAAAAGTAACGTGTAATAGTACCAACTTCTTTTTTAAAACCGATTATCCCAACCCTTTATTATTGCTACCATCATGAACACAATATTGCTACGTCATTGCCACATCGTTCTTACAAAACAGTGCAGGACTACTCTGTTACTCTTAACAAGTTTCGTTATCGTTATAACGCCATTCCGCAGTTTTTTCACTACAATAAAAAAACTTTACGGAGTTATAACGATAACGAAAGTACATACGTATATTATTAACAACAGAAGCTATTTATCAACTATGATTTTTTACAAATTGCAAAAATTACAAATGCACTTGTTTAAATAACTTAATTTTTTTTCATTTTTTAAATTGTGGTGCTCCCAGGCGCCCCTGGCACTTTGGCGCCCTAGGGCTCAAGCCCCAAAAGCCCATAGGTTAACGCGCTACTGGATGTCGCTTTAGGAGACTTATGTCAATATCGGTGACCTTCCTCTAATATTTCATGTCAATATACGTGTTGGCCGGAAAAAAATATCTCGTGAACTATATATTGATTTTTTGACATCTCTATCTTGATATGCCTTTTATATGCAGAATAATTAGAGGAATCATAAGAACTAAGAAAGAACATGGGCAATAGGAGTCAAGCGCGGAAGACGTTGCGCAAATAATCGACTATATATAAAGCGTAAAACTTCTTTATTTTACTAAACGCGCTTACACGTTTCGGCTCATTTTTGAGCCTTCTTCAGAGACAACATAAACTCACATATATAAAATGTAACAAATATTAACTTGTCATGGTGAGATCCCCCATATCGAGAATATAAATGCCAGAATTAAAACTTGGTTAGTTTGATTTGTTATACGAAATAGAGGAATCATATTATGTAAAAAAAAATCATATATGTAATCGGCCATAAAAGTGGAGATAACATCTTTTTAGTACCTCCACCTAGAAAAAAAATACAACGTGACCAGAATATGTCCCTCTCAAACCGTACCACTTTCATTTGAAATATTCTTTCGTATTATCAAAAACAAGCGAAATATTCAAGATGTTCAATTTAAATGGACCATCTTGTATATGTATGGATAAGATACATATAGTCGGCTGACAATGAGTGATATGATCACTATCATCATTTACGTTTGTTTTTTCTTATCGCTGAATCTCGCAGACGATCGTGTACCGATCGGTCCTTGAGACTCAAAGGACCAAAGTGAGTTCTAGTCTTTGCATCCTTCGAAAGCATCGAAAGCACTGCACACGCTTCTTTCATCGAAAAAATCTATTTCTAATGACGCAACTCTTCAAAGTTCAACTTTATTAAAACTTCTTGTCATTTTTAATAGCGATTTTTACGAACCAAACAATTTTCTTTTTTTATCAGAAAAGTTTTTTTTTATATGAATTACAGACTAATACAAATACTATTTACATCACATCTAATTTATAATATTTATATCAATATTTAACGCGCATCTCGATCAGTTATACATATTTTTATCTCCTTTGTTATTAATTGGATATTTATTTTATATTGAAAGTAATTATATTTATTATCAAATTAATATATTATAACATTTAATAATAAACCACGACTTTCCTCAAAATGTGCCGTATAATATTTAAAAGAGTATAAAGAGTATTTTTTCTTTGACAATTTGAAAGAGAGAGAGAGAGAGAGAGAGAGAGAGAGAGTGAGGGGGGAGAAAAGAAAGGAGAAAAGCAAGTAAAGAAGAAAATCAATTAATTTTCTCGTTTCATATTAACCTTTAGAGGGTGGGAGTCTATTTAAAAAATCTTGTAGTATATCTTTCCTTGTGAGTAAGATTTATTATAATTTATTATTTCATTATAGTCTTTGCCTCAAATGTAACTCTATTTTAACGCCACTATAGTGGCTTTCCTATCCTTAAAATTTAAATATGTAGAAAGAGTAAACTTGTAACAAATTTATGTATTTTCTTAGTTTTGAAAGGTAGTCCAGCCATTGGTAGTCCTATTCAATCTCTACCGTTTAACAATGATCATTCGGATACTAAGGAGGAAAGCGATGGTAAGTTCCACAATTTGTCATTATAACACAGGTAGAGGAAAGGCCCCTATTATGAGATACTGAGTTCATTTTGGATAAATGCTGGAAGTATATGGGCAGAATTTAAAAAAGTAATAGGTCATTTTGAAGGGAATTTAATAACCTTTAAGATAATGTTATGTAAAATTTAATTCAAATTCTATTTTTTTTTTAATTAAAAAATGTTAAAAGTGAGCAAATCACAAAATCAAAAAATTGTGTTCCTAATACGAGATCCCCCAAGAAATCGATAATAAAACGCAAAGTACATCGGTATTGCAATTAAAAAATTTTATTTAATGTTTCTAAAATACGAACATAACCAGTGTGCACGCAAAATGAGCATGCGATGCATTATATCCAGAATTCGTCTTCAGGTTGGAATCAAGCATCGTAGAAACAGGCACTCGATATTCATTTCGGTTGTCCTTTTTATTATTGTACAATAACGCATACTTTAGCAATGATTTTCACTGTGATTATAGAAACATAGGTTATTTCATATTAGAAATACCTTGGGTATCTTATATTACGATTTCCACGCCTTACGTACGGTTTTACGGTTATCAAATCTAACTTCTGTAATTAAGCAATTCAACACATATCCCGTATTCGTATTTTTCTATTAGTACGATCTTACTCTATCACTACAAGAATGTATTGCCAAATATTTACTTATTAAATAACAAACAAAGTTTAAAGGCTCATCTCAATGAAATTTGAAGACTTCCGAATTCTAAAATCTTTTTTACAACGACTACAGGCATGATCTAATAATGAATTTTCCACTAAATAGTTTTCAATCCAAGAGCAATAAATTCTTGGAATTAATAGATAGTGTTTATATTAGTTTAGCAAAAACGCTGCTATATCTCATATTAGGCGTCTATCTCATAATAAGGGGCTTTTACTCTTCATGTTTTAGTTTTTTGGAAAATATATGGATATACTAAAAAAAAGAGTCTAATTAAGTTATATAGCTATATCAAATATTGAGTAAATAATTTCAACTAAATGTTGAGGTAATATAACTAAAAACATAATTTTATCTTTATAAATATTTAGTTATATTACCTCAACATTTAGTTGAAATTATTTCACTCAATATTTGGTGACATAATCAGACACTTTTTTACGAATATGTACATCTCGGCAACTAAATAAAGAGAAAATGATTTTGATTGTGGTATAAAAGATGTTTAAGTATATCGACATTTATCTGTAATGCGATTTTTTTGAAGAATTTAAACTCAATCTTTCTTTTTTTTACACATAAAAATTTATAAAAGACATCCAAATACATTAATTGTTCACGAAAGCTGATGAAGGAAATTCTACTGTGATATGAGACTCTGAAGATTCATAAGCTAGGCACTCCATTAAGAATAATAATCGCAACTATTAATAGCCCGTTATATCGTTTGATTTGCTTTGTTGGTAGAATTGTAAAGAGGAGTCGCGTATCCCTGAGGCACCCATGCAGTTTTGTTAAAAATAGCCGACAATTAGCCAAAATAAATTAAAAGTATGACATTACAAGAAAATCATGTTGTAATATCTTTAGATGTGTATAGTATCTCTATTCACTAATGTACCTATATGCTATTAAAAGTATTGAAAAGAGATGGCATATAATAGTATTTTCTTCTTCCTCAATTCGATAATAAAATTCATACTGGCATTTTCATTGCACGTTCGAACTTTACTGTCGGATCTCTTATCTTGTTAGTCGAATATTTGTTTTATAATTAGTTTCAAAAATTTTTTTGTTTACACTTTTCTCTTTGGATTATCCTACATTAATTTTCTTATTATTGTCAGACAGCGAATTTTTTACAAATTTTTATATATATAATTGATCCATTTATTAATTTATTTCTTTTTCTTTTACAGCAAATGATTGCATATCGGATAGAAGATCAGTGTTGGAAGATCAGAAGCGAGAAAATTTGTACGTTCCACAATGCATGTCAGATGGAAGGTATCATCGAGTGCAATGCTACTCGGGTTATTGTTGGTGTGTGTATCAAGATACAGGTAAGCCAATACCAGGGACATCCTCGAAGGATCGTACACCGAATTGTAATCCAGTTCCGACTCCTAGCAGACCTATGAAAGGTAATTAAAATAAAAGTATTTTTTCTTGAAAATTACTCACGTTGTGTGTATTATTATAAATTTCAAATCAAATAATAATTCTTTAACGTTTATAGGATGTCCAGAACTAAAAAAACAATTATTCCTTCGAGATCTGATGACTCTTATGCAAGAAAAAATGGAAGCTTCCAACATCGATTCTAATGAAACTACCGTTAAATGGCAGGCTTCTAAGGAGGAAAGAATAGCAACTTGGCATTTTGTAATGCTTGATAAGAACAAAAATAAGGTATTCGACGAAAGACAATCGTACTTTTCTCTCGTTAATATCTATTAAAGGAGATATTACATATATATACATATATAATAAGTGTAACATGATATATCATTATTTATATTCGGAGTTTAACATAAAAATACTAGTAAAACTTTTCAATTAATCGCATATATAATATTAAATCTATAGGACCGTATATGTGAGAACACAACCTATAGGAAATAAATACCTTTAATGGTTTAGATAATTCCGGGTGAAGAATTTATATATTATATATGTATGTAGTCCTTTAAACTGCGCGCCGAAATAATTTTTCAGTCTTGAGAAACACGAACTCTACTGAATTACCGCAGTAATATCACGAATTAAATTGACAATTTAATAATTCGATGCTCTTACGTATCTTAGAACGATCTTAATAATGCTGAATAACATTAAAATCTTTAAATTAATTTTGCGAAAAATATTACCTCAACCGAGAGTCGAGCCCGGATCTCTAGCATTCCGTACGATATACATATAATTCTAAAAGTATGTGTAAAATAAATAAGAGATTTCCTTTTTTCCCCTAGATTCTGCTTATTGGTTTTTTAATTGAAATAAACGTTTCTTGATTACTTTCTCTAAGCTTTATTCTATCGCGCGTGAATATACATATACATGTATTTACACATATAGGTTTTAGAAAAAAAAGAGTGGAAAAATTTTCGCACAATGGTAGCGAATAACAGACAACTCCGGAGATGTGGTAAAAAATTACCGAGATATTGTGACATCAACAATGATAGAAGGATCAGTATGACAGAATGGCTAAGCTGTCTCAATGCTCAGCGTCCAACAATAGGTATATATATATATATATATAACATTATATCTTTTACTTTACTTTTGTTTTGTATATATAACGATTGTAAAGTTTTAATGGGCATTTCAGCTAACGACCCGGAGAAACCATTAACTACACCGAAAAGAATAGGTCCAAATCCACTAGATCAGTTTCTCAACGATGATGACTAGCACATTATGTGATAATTTGTGTTCGCTATCCCATAAAGAGACACTCGTCTCTTTTTTCTCATTAAGCATTAACATAAGTACGACTGCAGGAATTCCTGGAATCACCGTAAGCCATCTTTTCAATGTAATAATATTTCTTTGGCATTTCATTAATTTTCAAGTTTTAAATTTTAGCAATTCTTTTCGCAAATTCTTATATTTAAAATTCTTAGAATTTTTAGAATTTCCAATTTAAAAGTAATCTTTTATGTTATTTAAGTAACGGCTTACATTCTTTTTTGGCTTTTCTGAAAATTTAAATGTTGGCATTTCACAAAATACTTACAGGCAGTTTTCTCATACTGGTAATTGTCAACACTGTACAATCAGTATGTGTGTACTCTTGTGTATCACCTAGTCCATAAAAGTAATAAGGCTCCTGAGTATTCAGCCAAGAATTCTGCATTGACGGTGGCGACACAGAATCAGACGGCGGCCTGGCGAAACCGGTAGCCCCACACACACAAGTACGAGCTCATGTACATGTGCTCTCGGCGCATCCAGCGCATGCTTATGTCTATGTGTACAAAGCCTCGTCACAATAAATGGCTGAACTTATAGGCGTGAAAAGTAACGTGTTGACGTTAAAATTTTTTCTTGCGTACCATTTTGTTATTATGTGCTTATATGTGAAACTGTGACTTGTCTCATACTTATGAAAATCGTAAAAATCGATGAAGACTCAAGTTATCCTGGAATTTTTTATACGTAAAAGCATATTTTTCACTACCTTCAACAGCTGTCAAATCGTATGTTTTCTGTCGAAAAAGCCTTCACTTTACGTGCCTTTTATGATTATTTATTGACTGTAAGAGGAGGTAAGGAGTCTTCTTCAATTTTCACAATTTTTTTAAAGCGATCTCATCATTTCGTTTCATCCAATTTCTCTTTATTTACAAATGGCACGCAAGAACAATCAACGTGTCATTTCTCGCTTATGACATCACGATTCCAATATGGCCGCTGTGACTACTCAGGAGCCTTACATAATTAAGCTATCTTATACTGAAAACAAATTCAATTTAGAAAAAGATGTACAATAAAGTAATTTTTATAGCAATTTTCTCAATATTGAACTTTTGTTATATCATGTCTTTATCCATTTCCTCTTTAATCACAAAAAAAATCATTTATTCAAGCGTTTACACATTTCTAGTTTACGAAAGTGTAGATTTGTAATTCAGAAAAATGTAATGTACTTTATTCATAGATAGATATTCTTTTATGAACATATGATACTCCACACAACCTACGCGTTGAGATATGGAGTTTTTAAAAATAAACTTAGAATATTTGCTACATGTCACAGAGATGGCAAATAGGAATCGTGGCACAAAAAGTCCAACGTTTGAAAAAATATAAACTTAATTTGTGCGTCGGTGTATTTTCATATATACATGTTGAGTACAGTGATACTCTTTCATACATCTTTATATACATCTCTCACGTATAGTTTTTACAAAGTCTGGGTGCTGTTTCTTGTACAACAATTATACAGGGTGTCTCGAATTTAAATGTCTAAACTTCGGGAACGTGTAGAGGATCGATAAACTAAGAAAAAAAATCCTGTAGAGATATGCTCGTTTTTGCTTCGTTTTGGAGAAAATCATAAAAAACGTAAACGTAGTTGTTTCGTTCCTGTACTGCCTCTGAAGTATTATCGTCGCTAAAATCGTGCACGAAAACAATAATAATTCGTTAAGATGTTAAACTATTTTAAATTCATTTTTAGATGAATTAATTTTCAGAAATTATAATTGCGTGCCGATATGGTTGTCGGACTTTCAACGCAATCAAATCTGAAATATTAATAATCCCCCCAAATTCCCAACTTAAAAACTGTAATAAACTTATTGCGAAAAATAATGCCTCGGTCGGGAGTCGAACCCGGATCTCAGGTTCAACTCCCGGCCGAGGCATTATTTTTCGCAATAAGTTTATTACAGTTTTTAAATTGGAAATTTTGGGGGGATTATTAATATTTCAGATCTTTCAACATCTTAATGACCGTTATTGGCGCTTCTTAATGTATTTAACATAAGCGATCTTTCAAGCTTATTATTAAATAATAATTCGGTTTTCAAGTGAAAACTTTTTTTGTTTGTTTATATTTCTGCCTTTCTCCTATAAATTCGTCAGTTACTCGTCAGAAGCTATTGAGTGAATTAAATTTGTCACAATATGCCGCATACATATTCTAACGTTGACTATGCTGACATAGTTTTCGTGTATGATTTCTGCGACGGTAATGCTACGAAGGCGGTGCGAGAGTATGTACGCCGATTTCAAAACAGAAGAGTGCCGGATCGGCGAGTCATTACAATGACTTTTAATAGGCTGCGAGAGACCGACTTATTTTCAATTCATCAAGATCCATTAGGAGCAAATATGTAAGTAGAAAATCGTGTCCTGCACTACTTTGATAACAATCCTGAGACCAGCGTCAGCTGCATTACAATTGCGACGGCAAAGAATTTACCGAACTTTAAGAAATGATAATCTGAAGCAGGAAGTTTATTCGTCATCAGTCAACTCAAGAGAATAATTGAGAAATCAAATTGAGGCTGCAGTGCACCAAATATCGCCAGATCAGTGTTTGGCTGCAACACGAGCTGTCCGTACTAGATACAATGCTTGCATTGCTGCAAGAGGCCAACATTTTGAACAATATCTACATTAAGCAAGTGAATAAATACAACGTGAATAAGTAATGAGAAAGTAGAAAAATGAAAACTACGTTTTGTCTCTTTTTTTGCGATTTTCTCCAAAACAAAGCAAAAACGAGCAATCTCTACAGGACTTTTTTCTTAGTTTATCGATCCTCTACAAGCTTCCGAAGTTTAGACATTTAAATTCGGGACACCCTGTATATCCTTTTTTTATCACAAACAATAAACGTGGGTCATATTCAAAATAGATGTCCATAATGTAATTTGTGGATGGTTACAGTTGCCTTTAGAGTTTAATCCATTCTTTTGGCACCTCGTGTTCTCCATGCAATTAGCAGGTTCCAAGAAAAGTACAAAGAGAAACAATGAACTTGTGAAGCTAAAAGAATAAAAGCGTACCAAAGTACACCATACGGTAGACTCTGAAAAGTAAAATAATAAAAGTATGATTGTCTTATGTTTAAGAACAAAATACAAGAAATATAAAATTTCTTTTTTCCAAAGGAAATCTTGCAAATATAATTAATACGCACACATCTTTATTTATTTAAACAAAAAGTTTAGTTAAGGATATTTAATGACATTAAAAAAAAACAAACATACCTGCCACAAATGAATATCTTCAGATTTGCCTACAGTTAAGTATGTCCAGACATCCTTGAAGTAATACACTATAGCATAACCTAATGGGCCATAACCTAACAGAATGATACCTATCATATATTTTTGCAGTGTTTTAACCCTATTCCTTTTAATCGCAGAAAGAGCGAGAAAAGATAATAACAGACTAATGCACCATATATATTCCCACCACAATGGCTGAAATAGAAGGGAAAATAAATTCGTTGGATGATTAAAAAACTCAACATATCATATACTCAATATCACTAATCTAAATTTGACATAAAGAAAAAGACAAAATATACAGAAAGTACATGATTTATCGCGTTAGATTTATAAGATTAGTCTACAAAGATGTTTTTTATTGAAATTTCATATTGTATATAATTGCTTAAAATATAGCCACAATTATAAACAACGATTATATTGAAATTTATATTTATATTAAGATATCATTTTATTATACCTGTGGTACTTGTAACTCCTCGATTTCCAAAATAAATATATCTAGATGATCTAATATGTCTGCAGATAGTTTGGCGAGCATGACGAAAAATAAAAGATAGTGAAAAAATATACAATACTTCAGTCTTGATTTGTTGGTCGCACTGGAAACAAGTGTATTTTTGTAAATTTTAACAAAACCGGTACACATTTTGATATCCTTCTATATCTCATATTTTGTATGTAATACACAGATTTAATTAATTTTTACCTCCAAGTCTTTTACCCATCCAATATTCAAGAACAGACTATAATTTGGATTTTTATTCGATAATGAGTATTGACATTGATACATACATAAAAATATATATATATGTGATATAAATTAATAGTTGGCGTAAACAAACAAAAAAAAAATATATATATAGTTGTTCAAATAGATACCAAATGTAAATTGATATTATCGTATTATTGGATGAGTGAAAATCGTGAAAAAATAATTTCTGCGTTTTCTCACCTGACTTGGTAGTGTGTCGCGATTTTTTGTCGGTGATTATAATCGCTCCCATCCGTTCCCAGAGCTTGGGAAAGCGTAACTTTCGAAGCCATAATCGGTAAGGTTCAGTCTCTTCTTTAAACGGACACGAGATTCATTCGAACAGAGTAATAAAATCCAAGGCAATTTATGCACGGTGGTTGATCAACGAGTATTTAACTATTTTTAAACTTTACGCAGCCAGATGGGAAACAAAGTGGCCTCGTCAGGCTTTGGCAGGCCTCGTGATTCCGGAACCGTCCGGGGGTCCGGAGTATCTCAAAGTACCCAGGGCGATGTAAGCCAGGGTATCGAGAGCGCGCTAGGGCGAACTAGAGCGAAAGTGTCAATTTCGTGCCCGTGGCAGTCGTGGTTCGTGATCGTTCGTGGGTTCGTACCAGTTCGTGCTCATGCACGCTCGTGCACATTCGTGCAGCCGGTGCAACTTACCAATCGAATCTTAAAGGCCCTTGCACAATGCCAGGCAACAGGCAATAGGAACAGGCAATGGCTGCGTTCAGCAGAACGTTTGTTTTGCAACTGTTGGAAGTTTCCTTCGCGCTAATTGGATCATACTTTTAGATCTAGAAGAATGGTCCTATCTCAGCAGACAATCATAAAACGGTTGCAAAACTGTTGAGTCTGCTGAACGCAGCTAATAGAAACAGGCAATAGGAACAAGGAATTCGAACATACCAGAAACCATGTATCAATGCAGAATGGACCGTGACACAGGCAATAGCACAGAATTTTCGTCACGTTGGAAATTCTGTTCCTATTGCTGTTGCCAACCAATCACAGCGTTCGGATTGCTTAGGTTATATTTTCGAATTTGTGGCGCGTGTGTGTAGCACAAGCTCTAATTGCGATCTAAAATTGCGATCTAAAAGCTGTAATATGCACGATCATGATGAATATTCGATGCGTTTCGAGAACGAAGAAGAGGAAGTGTATCTGGACGACGGACTGGATATATCCAATGAAAACTCAATTAATACATATATGAAACATGGTGATGAATTATTAATTGATATGGTTCGTTCTCGCCCTTATCTTTATAATAAAATGGTACAAAACTATAAAGATGCGGAAATGAAGGAGAATGCATGGACAGAAATTGCCACTGCTCTAAATATTACATGTAAGTAAACTTTAATTTAACTCTAAACTTCACCGTTTTACATATATTATATGATTACAATTATTTATATTTGATGTGTATATTATAGCTATAGAATGCAAGAATCGTTGGTTACGTCTTCGTCAACGATTCAGCAAGGAGAGGCAGTTGCGGGAACAAGAGACGAGGAGTGGAAGCAAAAAGCCCACGAGACAAAAATGGATGTTATTTGATAGTCTTACTTTCTTGGAAAGACGTATAACCCAAAGAAGGTTATCTTCTTTCAATTCTGCAAACAAACTTGCGAAGTCACCATACTGTTCGCGTCGAGTATTGATGGGACGGACCCACCATCGCCTGTTCCTCCAGCGCCTAGATTTTTTTGCTTTCCATGCAGAGTACAATGCTAGGCTAGCTACTTGCATTGCACAGAGAAATAACATAATGTTTTCGTCATCCATAGTTAATAATCTACAAAAAGGATGTCAACGAAAATCTTATTATACTAATAAAACCACATACAGTACAGAATTATATTTATACAGAATTATATTACAGAATTTATATATGTATACATATATCTGATTCTATTTTTTTATATCTGACTCTATTTTTTTTCTATATCTGACTCTATTTCAACCAAAATTTTAAAATATACCATTTAATTCACACCAAGAATTTGGAGCTATATTACTTTCGGGTTAAGTGAACACTACGAAGCAGCCGACAAAATTCGAATGTTCTGA